ATCACTAACAATATTTATTTCTTCTCAAAATATGATTTTTTCAGCTTAATTTAATACAAGGGCTGTGTGGATCTCTTCAGCAATAATTTAAAAATTTATGCAGATACATAAAATCCAGGTGAATTTTTTTTTAGAGAATTTTTTATTTTCGGCCGACACAACATCTTTGTATGTGGTGCTGAGGATCGAACCCCGGGCCGCACGCACGCCAGACGAGCGCGCTACCGCTTGAGCCACATCCCCAGCCCGAGGTGAATTTTTTAAAAGCTGTGTGTACCACAAGCTAATAAGTGAAAAATACCAGGGGTGACTTCACAGTTGTCTATTGGAGGAAAAAAAAAAATCCGCCATTGGACAAAATCTCAGACCTATGTTAAAAAAAAAAAATCTAAAGCAGCATTAAAGTAAAGCTACTTAGGGAGAAGAATCCCATCCTATGAGCAATTTGAAATAAAAACTTCAGAATCATAATAGTGACTCTACCATAATTTTCTGTAATAAAACATCTATTATAACAGATATGGCAATACAATAAAAGTCCTATTGTTCCAGAAACTGTATTATAACTGAAACAGGATAATTATAGAAATACTTGCGTGAGAATTGCATGTTCAACAGAACCATTGAAACTCATTCTTCTCAGACTGAAAATAAGTCTTCCGAGTACAGAAGAACTCTTCAGCGAGGTTCAAAATGGAAAACAAGGTGGATTTAAAAAAAAAAATCACTTATGGCAGTGTAACCTTTCAGTGTCCCCTCAGGACCATCTGTAGCATGTTTCCCAGGGCCTGGCCAGCATTGAGTTCTGTACTTTATTTGGATACTAAAGTCTATAAGTAGATTTTGAAGTAGGGCATCTCCGTACATTCTTTCAAAAGGCAGACTTTAGTGTGACTCTCAGCTCTATCAAGTTCATTTGTAAGTTCTTAGAATTCCTAGCTTTTTAGAACAGTTGACACTGGGAACATTTTGCAGGAGCCCCATTTGTATGTTGAAGACATCCAGAATATTGCCAGTCTCCTGCTCTGTATTGTGCAAAGCACTTCTTTGTCTCTTTTCTTCATGTGGTCTTCCCAATAACCCCAGGTTGTTGAGAGCTAGGGTTCTCATCCTCATTTAGCAATTAAAGAAACTGAGGATTATTTGGTTGGGAGCAAGGCTGGGGATTTGTCTGGAAGCTGTGTTTGCACTATAAGCACACTGTTTCCACTTAGTGTGTCTATTTTTTTTTTTTTAATGTGGGTTTGGGAGAACTGATGAGAATGAAAGAGAAGTAAGGGGCCAGAAGACCTGCAAGTCATTACTTGTCACCACTACTGACTTTTAATGTCCCATCCTGGGTAAGTTTGGCACTTTATAGGACGGGGACCTGGAGGAAATTCACAGAGTGATAATGGTGGCTGAGGGACTAATGGAGTGCGCTGGGAGAAAAATCATGATAGTAGTAATAATAATGACACTGATGATAACGCACACTCAACACTACAGCAAATATGTCAAGTGGTGCTAAGTGGTGACTAGAGGGACATGATAACTGTCTACAAATATTTGAAGGATGTAAACACCAAGGAAGAAAATTAATTAATTAATTAGAAGTATGGTGATGAAGCCTGAGACAAGATCAGTACCAGTTCTCAAATCACCTTGTCCCCCAACAATCCTTTCAGAATTAAGCTCTCCCAAGAGTAAAGGAAGATGGCAGATGGTTCCCCTGCACACAGTGATCTTGACATAGTCCTTGCCTGATATTATTTTTATTGTCCCAGAGGGTAGACATGTATGTACCATACACAGGCTCAGATTATAAAAGTATAGCTGTCACTTGTTTACTCTCTAGTGTTATGGGTTTGACTGTATCACCTAAAAAAGATATGAAGTCCTTACCCTGACACTGTGAATGTGGCCTTATTTGAAAATAGTCATTGCAGATTTAATCAAGTAAAAATGAGGTTATTAGGGTGGGCTCTTAATATGATATGACTCATGTCCTTATAAGAAGAGGGGAATTTGGACATAGACCCAAACACCCAGGGAAAATACCATGTGTCAATACAGAGAGAGAATACCAAAGATTGGACAGCCACCACCAAAAGATAGGAAGGGGCAGGAAAGAAATCTTCCTCATAGGTTTCATAGGAAGTGTCTTAGTCTATTCTGGCTGCTATAACAAAATACAAACAACATAAATTGATTTCTCATGGTTCTGGAGGCTGGGAAATCAAGGAGCCAAGAGATTTCCAAGTTTTTGAGGAGACACCAACATTCAGTCCATAGTGGGGTACATGGCTCTGCTGACACCTTGATTTTAGATTTCCAGCCTCCAGAACTGTGAGACAATAAATTGTTTTAAGCCTCGAAGTTGTGGTACTTTATTTTAGCAGCCTGAGCAAATTAATATGCTTGGTGTGTGCCCATCAATACACTGAATATTTCACACATGAAAGGAATGGGGTGCATCTGGAGCTACCTACAGGAGCAGGGGAGATCTCCCCAGCCCTACAGGACTAGGAGCAGTATCCTGGGCCCAGCAAGTGAGGGTGTATCCAGTACTCGGGTACCTTGGGGAAAAGGGCCAAGAGGCTGGATCAAGATTTCTGACAATCCAGAAACACTAAATTGACTATGCTGCCTCCTCTGAAGTAATCTAAAAGGAACACTGCCTACAAAATTTAGCTTTCAAAATGACACCAAGGCCTTGCAAGAAGCTGCAGGGTTTGTAGGTGTGGCTGGATCACTCAGCACTAGTTATGGTGGATTTATGCTGAAAAATTCATGTAAGTTAGGAGCTGGTGCACTCAGCCTCTGGAAAGTGTGCAGGGTGGAGCCCTGGCTTGAGGGGTCCTGAGTTCCCTCTGCTGGTTCTATGTGTACCATCTAGCATCCTGGGAGATTCTTGGTCCCACTGGGGAGAGTGTGCTTTGTCAAGGGCAGGGTGAAATTAAGTTTCATTTGGGACGCTGGAGAGGCTGTTCATTTTCATACCCCAGCATCCAAACAAGAATAACCTGGATTCCTACACATTACCTTCTTTAATCTTCAGAACAACGCCATGAGTTGGGAACTATTATTATTATTTCCCAAATGAGGAAATGGAGGCACAGGGATAAAGTCATTGTAAGCATCATGAAAACATTAGCTATATAGCTGTAATGGAGATTCCACTGTGTGTCTAATTCAAAGGCCCCACCTGCCATTAGGAGAAAGTGGTGCTGTGTGTGACATCGCTGCGCTTCATGACTTCACTCATGGCATAGTGAAGGTCCCAGTTTACCGACGGATTGAAGATTTGCATGAACCTCTTACAGGTACAGCCTCTTCAACTTTAAGGTTTCCTTCCCTCCTTGCTTCTTTCCTGGCTCCAGGTACTCCCCAGCTCAGGTGAGTCACAGGCTCGGCCAGTTCTTTAATCTGCCGCCAGAGGGAGCTGCCGGCGGAGAAACAGGAGCGCCTCACCCAGGCCCCAAGCAGGAGACGCTGCTGCAAATTGTTCTATTCTTAACCTCAGTTCACTTTTTGAAAGTCACCCAAACCCACGCAAAGCTCCCATTCAGAAACAGACGAGGTTATTTCACTCCAACCAGGGGTAGTTTGATATTAAGTGCTTTGGGTTCTTTCTTACATGGGGGCGGAAAAGAACACCAGTAGAAAAATTACCCTGGCAGTGGGAAAAGTGTTCATTCTCTGGGCGCGCACAGCACCATGGACAGCTGGGCAGAATGCTGGTCATAAATAAGGGTTTGGTGTTAAGTGGACTCAGGCTGGAATCTGCACCCCGACACTCTTAACTGGGGCCTTGGGTGGCCCAACCGCTCTTGCCCAGCTTCTCCCCATCATAATGTGGCATGGATAACTATGCCTTCTTGGCAGGGTTGCAGTGTCCTTGGAAAACCTTCAGAAGATTTGAGATGGTTCACCGCCAGCCCTTGGGTGTGTGGGGGAAAGAGTCAGGGGACTTCTCTCTTCAGTGTTATTCCTCCGCCCTCTGTTACCCCGCCCCTTCTCGTCCTCAGCTTCCTCCCAGGAGGTTTCCCAGCTCAGCTTTGCCCTAGAACTGGGATCCGCCCCGACCCCTGGAACTCTAGGAGCAGAGCCAGGGCGTCTTCTTTTCGGACCTGGAGGCCCCCAGCTGGTATCTGACCCTGTCGTGTTCATTCACCAAATACTAATTCAGCACTTTTAACCCCCCCCCAGGTGTCCCCGTGCCCTCTCCCACGCCCAGACTGCGGGGAGAGAACCCCGAGGGTCTGAGACCCCGAGCGAAGGGTCAAAGGCAGCCAAGGTCTCCCAGGAGAACCTTCCAGGGCACTCGATCCAAAACGTGTGCCAGCTAGGGCGAAAGGACAGGGGGTGGGTGTCAAGTGGCACCGCTTGGCGGGTCCGGGGACTCCTCTCCAGGCGGCCTCTCCGGGTTGGGTCGTTGGGGACGGTGGGAGTGGACCTCCCGCCGCGCGCGCTGGGACCGCCCCCAGACCGCCCCCAGCTGGGGCTCCGACCGGCGGCGACCCGGCCCGCGTCTACCCGGAAGGCCCCGCGGAGCCGGAAGGCGGGAGGGCGGGGCCTGCGCGCCGGGGCCGTCGCCGTCGCCGTCACCGCGGCCTGTGGGAGTCCCTGGGTAGCGCGCCGAGCCGGATCCCGAGCGGGCGGTGCCCCGGGCGGGGACCAGGCGGGGCCGGGCTGGGCTAGGCCGGGTCGGGCGGACGACGTGGGCCCCGTGGCCCGGCGCTCCTGCGGCGTCAGTCCCCCACAGGCGCGTAGCGACCTCAGAGGCGCGCGCGGCACGGCCGCCTTACAGCCAGGTAAAGGTGCGCCCAGGGCGGGCCGGCCCGGGGGCCACGGGGCGGAGAGGCGAGCTGTGCTCGTGTCTGGGAGTGCCTCTGGGCCCTGACCTGCGAGAGACCAACCTCACTGTGTCAGTGGACACTGTTAGCCTATTCACTCCCCATATAAAGAAACTGAGGCACCGAGAGGCCATGTTATAAAAGTAAGCAGCACAGCTGGGACTAAAGCCCTGACAACTTAAGCCCAGGGCCTTGGCTCCAGGTCCCGCGCCCTCTCCCGCAGGAGCTCCGAGATGCGTGGGTATGGATGAGTGTGACACAGATAGAGCGTGCACACAGGTGTGGATAGATCTGATCAAGGCAGAATGTGCACGTGGGTATGGGTGGATGTGGGTGAATGTGACATAGGCTGAGTGTGCAAGTGGGTATGGGTAGGCCTGGTTGTCAGAGGCTGTGCAAGGGTGTGAATGGGTGTGTTGTAGACGGAGTGTGCACATGGGTATGGGTCCGTGTAACATAGGCAGAATGTGTGCGTGGATATGGATAGGTGTGGTGATGTCAGTGTGCATGTGGGTACGGATGTGTGTGATGTAGGCAGAGTGTGCGCTGTGGGCATGGGTAGGTGTTACAAAGCCTGATTGGAATCTCAGCCGGAGGGTTGCAGACCAGCACACCAGGCCTTGCCCTGTGGGAAGAGGATATGGATATTTAGAGGCGATCAGAAAAGAGTGTCAGTGGTTTAGGAAGAAAGATTAGTTTTTGTTGGCAAGAGTTAGCTTTTTAGAAAAGAAATAGAGATACTTTTGAGAGATTATAAAGTGACCAGTTTACTTACCAAGTAGGAAGATAAGGTTAGTGCTTCTGGCAAGGGCTATGAGAGGCCAATGCCCTGCTGAATGTGTGTGTGGGCTACGGGGGTGTCAGTCCCTGCTCAACCTTGCACTCCTTGGACTCCACAGGAAGGCAGGTCCAATGTGGCCTGGTCTTTTGATTTTTCAAGAGAAAACAGTAATCTGGGGTGTATCTGAAACCTTACTTTTAGGTATTGGCAAATAATTAGTTAAAATTTAAAAACTCTGTGGGCTAATCCAGTGTTTGTTGGTGACCTTTGCATAGAAAGGTGGAAAGACAAAGTGTACAAGAGCCAGTGTGCAAGGGTGTGAATGGGTATGGAGTTCTGTAAATGCCTTGAGAAGTAAAATGTGCTGAAGATTGAATGAGCGAGGTCATTACTCTGACTCTTAAAAGGCTGCCCTTACTAATTTGTGTGTGTGTGTGTGTGTGTGTGTGTGTGTGTGTGTGTGTGTGTGGTGTGTTTTGTTGGGGATCAAACCCAGTGGCTTGCACATCTTATCTAATATTTTTTTAAAGAACAGGAGATATGGAGGTTTGTGTTACCTCTGAAGCCTTCTTTTTCTTGTCTGTCACAATCTGGTGGAACTCAGAAAAAGAGACTGCTCTCCAAGGAGTGGGCTTACGTCTATCTCTTTGTTCCTTTCAGAACCCTGCTGAAATCAGCAGACCAGTCTGGGTACTTGCAAGAAGCTAGGGAGTCAGTGGGCATTTGTCTTTCCTGTGGCTGACAGATGGGCTTCCCATGACCACAGCCTATTTTAAGGACAAATCAGATTCTGAAATAGGTGTGATATGAGGGAAAGGCTCACTCCTGTGAGGTATTCCTCCTCCCTCCTCCCTCCCCTCTTTTCCTGCAATTGCAGACAAAGGCAGCATTGAGGTGGCAGAGGGAGTAGCAGGACAGGCTTCTCTCTTAATCTGGTAAGCCTGAAGCTGCCAGGAAACTGATTTTTAATATAGGCTCAGGAGATGAGGTCACAAAACTTCCTTCCAAACAAGAGTCTGTTGATGGTCTAACTCTTGAAATTATTCTTGCAATAAATTTAAATCAGCCTTCCCTTGGATTGGGGCAGCCTCAAAGCTACTGCTGCCTGTGGTGTGAAACTACTGAAACTCAGCTGCAGTGGGGCCCCTTCCTCTACCAGCTGTCTTAACACTATGGCGCCTGCTGGCTGTCCCTTTCTGCAGAGTCCTAGGCTTGTACCTTGGTGCTGGCCTGGTGGAGGTTAGAAGTAGTATTTGCAAAATGATGTCTCATTAGCCCTGTGGGTTTTGACTTAGAGTCATTCAGAGGAGGTCTAAATTGAACCCACAATTGAGTGAGTATAATAGGCTTGCTTCATCTGCAATTTCACTTTCTACAGTTCCAGTTGCCTTCAGTCAAATATTAAATGAAAAATTCCAGAAATAAACAATTCCATGAACTTTAAAAAGTTCATAAGTTTTTAATCATGTACCATTCTGAGTAATTTGATAAAATCTCTTTCCATCTTGCCTGGGATGTAAATCATCCCTGTGTCCAGCATATCCACACTGTATATGCTACCCACCCCGTTAAGCACTTAGTAGCTATTGTATCATGGAACCACAGTGCTTGTATTCAAGTAATATTTATTTTCCTTAATAATGGTCCCAGAGCTCAAGAATAGTGATGCAAAGTAGGCATCAGAGCATAAAACAAAAAGGATAGATTAACTCCAGTTAGCATATAGGATAAATCAAACAGAAGTGTGGTGTAAGCCATACTTTCAGGCATCCACTGGGTGTGTTAGAATGTATCTCTCATGGATAAGGGCGAACTCATATATATATATATATACTGATTTCTATATTTTTTAAACATTTTCTTATTGTATAGAAACTGTTTTGAGAGAGTAGGTCCATAATTCTGCAGAAAACCTGTATTAAGAGTGGTACCCAGGCACTGGTGTGGATGGCAGCCTTGCAGACCAAGAATGGCAGGGCCTAGAGGCCTCAGACTTTTGGGAATGGAAGTTCCCCACAGTCTTCAGGGCGCTTTCCTGAGACCTGGGCTATGCCTCCCTTTTCCCAGTATAATTGACAGATAAAAACCTGGCTATAAACCAGAGCTAAGCTAGAAGGTGATTAGATATTTTACGGTAGGCTTTTTAGCCTTTTGAAAGGTTTTACCATAAAATTGATTTCTTTGGTTATCTTCATATGCATCTGAAGTAAAACTCATTTTGTTGAACTGCATTGCTTTTTAGGACCTTGGCCACTGGGTAAGTTAGGTTATGCCCTCCGTCTCCCAATTTCTGTGAGGCTTCTGCCATGTTTAGTTCCTTCCCTGTGATAATGTGGTTTTATTATTATGGCATTTATGTGAGGACAAGTCCTGACCACTAGAAGAGCAGGAGGAGCTCTCTTATAGGGAGCAGGAGGAGGGGACATTCATTTTGTATGGAACACAGGGGCTGGGGCAGGGCCTGGAAGCCAGGAGGACACAGAGAAGCTAGAGCCGCAACAGGCATGCATGAGTTCTCCTCTGCATCTCAGACCCCACATGACACATCTGGGGGACAACTTGTTGGCAACCTCTGAATTCAAAGACTGAGTAACATCCTGGGTTGTGCTCTCCCAGAGTCCTGTTGCCCCAAGTAAGGTCCAAAGTCCCCCTGTGCTTGTATTTAACAAGATCTTAAGTGCTCCCTGTGCACTTGTGGGAGAGTCATCACCTAAAATATATCAAAAGGAAAAAGAAGAAAAATTTCCGGTGGCTAGAGCACAACATACTTCTTGGCCCTCCAGGAAGGCAGAGAAGTTCTGAAAACCTGTCTTTGTAGTAAGATGGTGGGTCCATGGGTTCATTCCAAGGGCTGAAAATTCTCTTCCAGAATCAAGAGGACAATTTATGGGAGACTTCTGGTTCTGGATTATCCCTGGGTCAGAAAGAGCTCACGTAAGTGAAAGCTGCTGAGGCATAGACTTTGCCCCAGGATTTCTTGGTCAACTTTCTTTTAGCAACTGTTTCAGTATTTCAGTGTGAAAAGGGAAGTGTGTCAAGAAAGGAAAGTGCTGGTAGAGTCTTGGGATCAGCTGAATCTCCAGGGAGAAGCACCACCTCTGCTGCTCTGATTTTCCTTCTGACCCTGCCAGGAGACCTGGTGTGTGGGGCTCTTCATTCCTGCCCTTCTCTGTATTGACAGAGCCCACCCTGGCCTTGGCTGCACTCTGCCTATCGTTTCTGGGCCAGCATGACAAGTTTCCGGACCCCAGAGAATTATTGTAAAGGTCCATCTGTCCTTTTTCTCACTTACATTGCAACCCCCTGGAATTATTTGATTTATTTTATTCTCTCGGTTACTTTATCGTATAGCTTCATCTTGTCCTTGTTTTTAATGTCCCATGTGGAGAACTGTAGGCTTTTGAAGACTAGCTGATTAAAGAAGCCAGTGTTGTGTATCGGTAAGACATTTGGTGCCATCACACTGAGAGCCTGCAACGTCCCATTCTCAGACTGGTCATTCTGTATCCATCTTACTTGTGCCTTACAAGAGCCCAGCATGTATGTGGCTTATCTCCATCTTAAAGTGAGGTTATCCGATACTCAGCTGCAGGTCACACAGCAGGCAAATGCCAGTGTGGTCCCAGAGTCCTGTCCTTTCCCCTTCTCTGGCTTGGCGCTCACTCAGATGCCCTGTCACATAAAGAGAACATGAGGCTGGGACTTTCTGGTCTCTGCCAGGCTTTGTGTGTTGAGGATTGCCTGAGCCAACTGAAAGGCCGCTGATGCAAGAGAGGTCAGACGTGCCTCCCTTGTGATAAACTGGTGGACCATGTGGCTGGGGTTGCTCCTTAATCCCTCATAAATCAGAAGTTAATCAGAGGGCAAAGAAGACCTTTCATCTCCTCTTCTGCTTCTGTTTGCTTATTAACTAACTGCTGCCCTGCTTCTCTGTGACAAAGTCCTTTTCACGTTATGGCATTCAGTTTGTTGCACACACAAAATATCTACATTTTCTCTCAGAAAATGGGGACATTTCTTTAAGAGTTTTGGAAGAGTAACATTTGGGTGGAAATACACTTATACCCATTGAAACTCTCCCTTTGATTCCCCTGTAGAGCCTCCCAGGATGCCCATCGTAGTGTCGGACATCATGAAGCTGCTGTGCTCCGTCTCCCAGGAAAGCAAGATGAAGGCAGCTGTCAAGCACTCTGGGAGGGGTGCCCTGGTCACAGGGGCTGTGGCCTTCGTTGGTGGTTTGATGGGTGGCCCACCAGGACTAGCTGTTGGTAAGTGTAGGTTCTGGCAGGTACAGCCAGACTCATGTCATGAGTCTTTGGAACCATGGCGTGGGGGTGGGGGTGGGGTGGGGTGGGGAATGAACCTCTTAAGAGTGACACCAATGGCTTGTACAAGGAGTTCGTGGAGTTAAGGTTGTCTGTGAAATGACCTTCATGTATCTGATTTGTCTTGTTAGAAACAGAAGCTTGTGTGTGGATTTCTCAGGAATGCAGGTATTCTTGGCAGTGGCTTCTGTGTCCTTAAGACCTGGAGGAACCATGGCCCCAGTGCCATCTGCTGACCCCAGGAATGTGTCCTAGTCCAAAGATATCAGGGTGCCTAGGTCCCTTGGATGTCCCTTCCCCACATCATCATCATCATCATCATGTCACTTCAGAAGGGATCCAGGGAGGTATTTGCTGGGATTTGCTGGCACCTACTAAGAACGGAAGCTGGATGGCCATCTTTCACATGCCAATTTGTTCAAGAGACCTTCACCCTTCTGAAAGCAAAAAGGTCATGGAGCAAAAGCAAGAGAGCAATTGAAGCAAACTGCTTTAATTTGGGAACCAGTTTCTAGCAATGAATGAAAGTTTGGCAAATTTTCCCATTGTTCTTTGGAAACAAGATAAAGTTAGTTCTTTTGGATTAAGGGAATGTATTAGTTAGCTTTTCATTGCTATGACCAAAACACCTGGCAAGAACAACTTAGAGAAGGAAAAATTTATTTTGGCTCATAGTTTCTAAGGTTCAGTTCATGGTGGATGGACTCTGTTGCTGTGGGCCCTTAGGTGAGGCAGAATATCATGGCTGAAGGGAAAGGTGGAGAAATGCTGTTCCACTCATGGCAGCCAAGCAACTGGAGGTGGGGGGGGGTCTGGTGGGGGTAGCACAGGGAAAATGCACCCTTCTAAGGCATATCCCCAGGAACTCCCTCCTCCAGTCATGTCCCACCTGCCTACAATTACCTCCCAATAGTCCATTTAAACTAAGAATGACTGATTAAGTTACAGTTCTCATAATCTAATCCTTTCACCTTTTAATATTCCTACATTATATATGCAGGAGCTTTTGGAGGATACCTCATATCCAAATCATAACTGGACAAGAAGAATTCCTGTATTCCAGGCCACGGAAGTTCTATCTGGCTCAGGGTTGTGGCCCAAACCATAGGCTAAGAGGGAGGCAGAGAGCTGGCCACCATCCAGATGAATTGAGAAGAGCTAGATAAGGCCCCCCTCAAGGTGGCCTCTAATGGACCCTGAAGCATAGTTTAAATGGTGTTCTCATGACAGCTTGGCACCTGCTGGATTGGGCTTCTGGAGATATTTATGGAAAGACTGCTCGGTGCTGGGCAGCCTTACTGGGGAGTCAGGGGCCTCAGAGAGTTCACAGCCCAGTGGAAATCCTTGTACAGGATTGCAGTCTTCTAGTGCATGTAGGCTGGAGAGAGACCACTTTTATGCTGAGGTTGGCTTCTGTTTCCCAGCTCACTGCAAGACTTCCTGTCCTCTTTTTTTCCTTCGGTAGTAGGATGGACCTTCAAGGACATTTCATTAAGCTATGGCCACACTGGGGAGAAAAATAAGCATGTGGGTGGCCCTAGACCTTCCCAGTATATATTACCCTTTCAGCTCTGTGAATTTGCAAGTCCTGACTTCAGCTCTTGCTGTCCAGGAAAAAAACCAAGGGAAGAGACAAGGCCACTTCCTTCTTCCTCAGTGATATTCTAAATCTTTGTCCCTACCCCCATCTAAGTGCTCAAGGCAGGACTTACTGAGATAATTTTATCATATAGCTGTGCCCCGTTGCCATTTTGGGAACACATATTTTATTCAGATTGAGTAAAAGCTGGTAGAGAACAGGATGTCTGTATAGAGAACCCCAGGGATTCACTACTTCCAGCCCCTGGTCAGGGGTGGAAGCATCATTTTACCCAGAAAACAAAGGAATTTTTTCTTCTCCAAAGAGCTAGTAATTTGCTGGTCGATATTCCTGGCGACTTTTTGCATTAAGTGCTGCTGTAAATCAAATATTGATGTTCTCATAAAGGTTTAGTGCAGATGAGTGCAACTCTTGTCGGCTCTAAGCATTTCACTGGTGTCATGGGGAAAAGTTCAGTAAAACTTGTAAATTAGCTGGTTCTCCCCTCTCCAGGATGTTCCTTTTTTTTTTTTTTTTGAAGCAGAAGTGAACCTGATCAGGGCCAGTATTCAGCTTCCAGAATATGAGGCTGGCTCTAGTCCCCATATAAGAAGAGGCATTGGCTCCAGGTACCTCCCTGCTTGGCTTCAGGAAACACCGGTTTTACTACCTGTCTTCTCAACCCAGCCTGGGAGCAGGTTGTCTCTGGCCCAGGTTTTTAAAAATTTTTTATTTTGGGGGTTTTTATCCCCGAACATTTCATTTTGGAATGATATTAGAGTTACAGAGAAGTTGCAAGGGTTATGCAGAGAATTCCCATACATTCTTCACCCTGTTTCTGTTTCCCCAGTGTTAACATGTGTGATGATACATTTTGTCAAAACTATGGAAACCACACTGATCCATTATTGTTAACTGTCCTCAAAATTTCATTTATATTTCTTACAGTAATGGCTTTCTTTTGCTCTAGGATCCAGTCTAGGATGCCACGTTGCATTTAGTGGCCCTGTTTTCCTTAGTCTCTTCTGTTCTGTGACAATTTCTTACTTTCCTTGTTTTTCATGACCTTGTTTGTTTTGAAGGATATCAAGCAGGTATTTAGGTTTGTTAGTTTAGGTTCCTCTGATGTATTTTTTATGAAGACTGGTGTTATGGGTCTTTGGAAAGAATAACTCAGAGGTGAAGTTTCCTTCTCTTGCATCATTTCAGGGAGTACATGACGTCTCTGGTGATGTTGACCTTGATTATTTGGTTAAGGTCACACATGCTGGGGTTTTCCACTGTAAAATTTCTGTTTTCCTTTCTCTATTCTTCAGGAGTGAGTCATTAAGTCCAGCCAGGCTGCATCTTTAAATATCTGATTGCTGATATTTAAAAATAGTGAGATGTTTTAAAGGCATAAATCTGGTATTCCACATGACAGAAGTTGGCTGGCATAGGGTAGCAGCTGTTCCTTGAGACAGGGACCCAGCTCCCAGGTCACCACAGACCCACTCTGCCCATTTCACTCCTTTTGATCACCCACCTGACCCTTGAAGGTACTTGAGTTTGAAGCTCCTGATATAGGGCACCTTTCCTCAACCTGCACCATCCTTTACATGGCCTATGGAACTTTACATTATACAAGGCCATCAAATCCCAAAATAGCATGCCTTAAATTTGAGAATAAATTTCCATTTAAGAATAATATTTAGGGCTGGGATCATGGCTCAGTGGTAGAGTGCTTGCCTAGCATGCATGAGGCACTGGGTTCGATCCTCAGCACCACATAAATGTAAAATAAAGATATTGTGTCCACCTAAAAAAAACTAAGAAATAAATATTTTTTTAAAAAAGAATAATATTTGGGCTGGGGATGTGGCTCAGTGTTGTAAAGTGCTTGCCTAGCATGCTCAAGGCCCTGAGTTTGATCCTCAGCACCACAAAGCAACAATAACAACAATAACAACAACGATGAGAATAATGTTCCTGCCCTTGTTTGGTAGAAGAAAGAGTAAAGAATTTAGTAAACTAAATTCAATTTGTTATTTGTCATTTTATAACTTGTAGGTGTGGTATAAAAAACATTACTTTAAGATAAGAGAAACTGTCTGTCCCCAGGTTCCTTTAGCCACCTAAGTTCTCTGGAAATTTCCTGAGTTCAAGGGCAGGAAGTGTAACAGCCACCTATTGAAGGAAACTTGGCCTCTCCACGGAGATGGTTTTACTCTAAAAATGCATTCACTCTTCAGCCATCTCCTTTGTGATGGGAGAGAAATTTTTATGGAAGCATGGTAGAGGGGGTGCTTCTTCAGCTCGTGAGGAAGGTTTTAGTTAGCACAGTTCTGGGAGAAATGGTTATGCTTCATTCTATATCTGAGTGTGGAGCTTAGGAAAGGGCATGTTTGTGTGTCAATTATCTGGGCAAAATGGACCAAAGATCACATAAACCTTTGCCCTCCCCACTGCCTGGTAGAGCCGGCGTGAAGCCCTGCTCGTTCTGACCACTCAGGAATGCGCCACCCATCATCACCATAGACGTGCTCTCAGCAAGGACCTAAGGCCACCGTTGATGAATAGGGCCCAACTAATGGAACCCTTCCTTGTTTTCTAGGGGGGGCTGTAGGAGGTCTATTAGGTGCCTGGATGACGAGTGGACAGCTTAAGCCAGTTCCACAGATCTTAATGGAGCTGCCTCCCGCTGAGCAGCAGAAGCTCTTTAATGAAGCCACTGCCATCATCAGACACTTGGATTGGACAGACGCTGTGCAGCTGACTACTCTGGTTATGGGCAGTGAGGCCCTGAAGCATCAGTTAATGGCAATGCTGGTGAACTATATCACTAAGGAACTGCAGGCTGAAATTCAGTACGATGACTAGGCTGATCCTCTGAGAAGTGGGGGTTTCGCTTCAATAATTCTTTGATTTTCCAAGGGTAACGGGGAGTTAGGGGGAAGCCCCAGTGAATCCCCTTGAGAAATCTGCACATCGTCAGTGAATTACCTTACACTGGAGTAGAAGGTCCTGCTGCATGGCTACCACTGTACTGGTCATGGCAAGCAGTTACTTATGAAGAAGTCGTGTTTCTTGCTCGCTTGTGCGTGCTGAGGTACACTGGCAGCACTTCTTGACTGTGAAACTGGAGAGAGCAAAGGCTGAACATTGCAGGCCTTGGCTTTTATGAGTCTCGAAGAAAGTTATCGTGTTCAGCTGATTTGCTAAGTGTACTTCCTTCTCCTCATCTTGTGAAGATGGCTTCTCTTCCAGACACCTGTTGCAGGACTGGACCCCCCAGGATCCAGGATCTCACTCAGAGCCAGTCTATGCCACAGTCATGAGTGTGCCCCTCTCTGCCCAGTGATTTCTCAGTGGCCTCACGGAGAATGGTTAGCCTGTTGAGTGAAGCTGCAAATACCAAGCAGGCTGGGCCCATCTCCCACTAGCTGCCCACCTTGTTCTCCTCTTCCTAGGACCTTGTTTCTCCACATGAAAACTCATGGTAGTTCTTGAGTCAGACATTTTAAATGAAATATTTTCAGTACAAAGTATTGCTCTTACATAGGGGAATCCTAACCCATCTGTAAGAAAAGTTCCCACCCTAAAGATCCCCCTAATATCATATTTACTTTGCCTTCTGGAATTCTTGACAAATTACAATAAATTTTTTTTTTCTGAAAAGTCATTTTCCTTTGTATTTTGATGCTTTACAGCATCACTAGCATTTCAAAGGTTACACATGGAACAGAAGTGAAGGTTTCAGATTTGCAGCTTTGAGGAATGAAAGAAAGCTCCCCCAGTTTCGATGCCTGAGGCAGGCCTTCCCCGGCCAGCTTTGGCCCAGCATGTGCTGCCAGTGTACATGCACCATCCCCAGCCTCCTCTGGCAACTCCAGAATGTACCTCTGTGCCCAGGCCATGGGGTAGGGCAGGGATGGCATCAGGGCTCTCTCCATGCGCTGCAGCACAAGCTCTCTGGGATGCAGAGGAAGGCACTTCTGCTGAGGGCAAGCTTAGAGGAGAGCTTGGTGTCCCAGCACCTTCGTGTGTATAAAGAAAACTTCAGGGTGAATGATAACCCAGGGTGATTAAGGAAGGACGGAGCCTTTATCTCAGAGAAATTGCTCTTTGGCTGGCCCAGCACAAACCAAGCATCTAGGCACAGGACATACTCCTGGAGCTAATAAAGTCACTTTGATCCTTTGTATCCGGCTTGAGTGGAGTTGAAAAGGGAACAGGCTTGGAGTTAGTTTTTTGTCTGTAAAAACTCAGTGTGGCCCTTCTCGTTGACCTAACCATTTCTCTCCTCCTGACAAATAAGTCCCTCATATGGTCCCTTGGACTAAAAATATAAAACAGGGAATCCTCAACCCCTCATTTATTTTTGTAGCTTCAGAGGGCTCTAAAGTCGCCCTCTTTTTGGTGTGAAGGTATAAACATTGATTTACAGATATAAGAGAATGAAACCAGAGTAAAGATGTTTTTGGTCCATTGCTTCAGAGTTCAAGTTTGCTTTTCCCATTTTAAACAATATGCCAGATTCTGCAATTGCTTGTCCCTGATCCTCCTGGAAAAATCAGGACTGTAATAGACTTTCCTTTGTTGGGTGATTGGGCCCTGCCAATTTATACTCCTGTATGGGGTCCCACTCTGTGCCAGGCCCAGGGCACACAGGTGGTCCCAGCTCAGATGCCCAAGGTCCACTGGAGCTCCTCCCCTCACCTGCCTGCCCCTACCCCTGGGACAAAAACCAGGGAGGTGCTGGTCCCAGCTTCTGACCAGGTGGGGTCTGATGGAGCAGGACCTGATGATGAAGACGTCCTTGACTAGCCAGTCCTGCTGTGACTGTGGTTTTGGGGTCCAGGAGGACATTCAAACCTCAAGTTCTCTACCTCCCAGGAGCTGAAAGCATTTTCCTAGATTTCCACAGGGATTTCTTCTCATCAGGCTCTCAGCTCCTGTAATGTGAATATGTATATTTCTGTTATCTTCTTTGTAAAAATTTGCTGTAACATAGGTGATTGCTTGCTACAAAACTTAACAGGTACCAGGGAGTACAAAGGTGCCCCTCCCTGTGACTCCAGAGGCAGCCGTGGAGACCAGTTTGTCTTAGGGTACAAGTGTTGATTTGTGGCCCTTGTCCCGTCCCCAGGGGGAGCCACTGTTCCCCATTGCTTGTGCATTCCTCTAACTCTGCTCTTAAAAAGACTTTGGAAGCAGTATATTTCCTTTTGTTTGTCAATATGTATGGCTGAAGACAGAAAAATCCAGAAAAGTATAATGAAATAAAAACGACTACAAGTTCCAACACCCAAAAACCTATTAACAAATTTGTTTTATTTCCTGCAAACCTCTTAAAGCTATGTTTGTATATTTCTAACGTATTTGCACTTGCACTGTATATACTTCTTCAAACACTTCATCAGTTAACTTTAATTAATTTATCTTTTGCTTTTGTAGTGCTGGGGATCAAACTCAAGGCCTTGAGCATGCTTAGCAGATGCTCTACCACTGAGCTACACACCCAGCCCTATCAATTAACTTTAAGAATATTTTTGATGTAATTTCAAATTCCTTATAAATATTTATTTTTTATTTGTGGTACTGGAAATTGATCCCAGAGCCTTGTACATGCTAGCCAAGCATTCTACTTCTGAGTTACACCCTCAGCCCTATTTTTATTTTTTATTTGGAGACAGTTCTCACTATGTTGTCCAAGCTGGCCTCAAATTTTTGATCTTTCTGCCTCAATCTCCCAAGTAGCCTGGATTATAAGTGAGCACCAGTGCAGCAGGCTCTTTGTAGGACTTTATAATGGCTGTATAGTATTCCACTGTACCAAACAATTTCCCTGGTAGTGTTTTCTTTATGCAGGTTTTTACTATTATATTGCTGCAGTGAACATATTTGGATTACTGATCTCTTTATATTTTGGATTTTGATAATCTTTGGATTATGACAGAAAGACTCAAAGTGACATTTCTGAGTTATAAAGTATGTGATATATGTAAAGATGGTTGTTATATTCAGTCAAAATTCTTTCAAAAAGACAGCGTAATTAACATATTTCTCCAATGATGTTTGAGATATGCACATTTCATTGAATCCTCATAGAGAAATCTAGTGGTAGTGCCTTAAGCCTTTGTTAATTTGAAGGGTAACTGCTGATGGCTTGGTTTGATTCATTTTTCTTTTAATTCAAGTGGGGCCAATTGATTTGGCTGTTATTCTCCTGTTACCTGTGATAGATGGCTGGGGGTGACCCCCTGCCAGGCTGCCAAGAGCCCCCAGTGACCCTGTGGCTGAGATATAGCTGAGGGTGAGAGAGAGTCCTTGCAGGGCCGCAGCTGACCCCACTTGTGGCTGCATCACCCAGGTAGGGGCCTCTGGCTGCCAGCAGGAGAAGGAGGCCACCAAGGCCAAAGGTGTGGAGACCCAGTGCTTATAACAAGAAACCATCTGTGCAAGGCTGGTTATTAACCTGCATTGGATATTGACATGACAGCACTGAGCGAGATTTTTTCACAGGCAGATGGTGTATTTTTAGCTAGAATTAACTTTTTTATATTTCTGTGTTTTGAGCTGTCTGGCTTGGAATAAGCATGACTGGGGGTATTGCAGTGAGGGAGGCTGTGGAGGAGAGGCCCCAGCTTGGAAAGCAGCGATCCTGCCCATTAGTTATTGAGAAGTGCCATCTAGTGGGAAAGCCAGGCATGTCCTGCTCCTTTCCCTGCTGCAGGGGGCCCACAGTGCCTTCTCCTGGTCAAGGGCCCCGCCAGGCCCCAGGGTGCAGCTCCAGAAGGGTGCTGCTTTAGGAGTTCCCTACCGGGAGGGGCTGAGGTCTTCCTGAGCAGAACATCAGCCCTGTCTCCTGCAACATTTTTTTTTCACATAAAACAGAATGTCTCTCGATCCTGAACAATCAACATATGGCAATTAAGAAATGCCAGGATCCATCTAAACCACGCAGGGAAAGGGACTGTCTGATGTGTTTTCAGTTTGCTGGGAGGAGATAAATGGCTTTGTTAGTTGGAAGGGCCCTCTTGGACCATTATGATAATGGCAGATCAGGAAGCTGAACTTGGGCCTGGCCAGCTGAATCCCAGCCTTGGGGTCAGCCATGAAAACCCTTGAATCCTGACAGATGGAGGGAATCGAAACCATCAATGTGGTTGCTATTTATCTTATTTTTCTGCTTTTTGCTCATCCTTATTAGCAATTAAATAAATGTGAGTATAATATCTAGGCATTATCTGTATCCCAATTAATTAGTAAAAATAAATACAAATGATCCAACCCAGATTTGGCAGAGCTGTATGGAAACCATGCATATGTACAGTACACACAGGTGGCGATGCATGGTGATAGTCACTTGAGAGAGTGATTTGAAGAAAAAAGTCACAGGAAGCGTAAAAATTGCATATACCTTCTAGCTAACCAATTTCACTTCAGGGAAAATATTCAAATATTCAATAAAACAATTCAAATGGAAAAAAAGTATGCATAGCACTGCTATTTATAATAGCAGGAAAAAGGGAAATAATTCCAATGTTTAAAAACAAGGAGATAGTTAAAACTATTTATGTATGTAATACAATATGGTATTAATAGCTAATTTTAAAAAATAATAAATGGGGATGGGTATATGAAATTCAGTGGAATTTCCCATCTACATTATATACCTTATGTAAAATCCATACTTGTGTGCTTGGAGGGGATTAAAAAAAGAAAAAGAGGAATTGAAAATGGTTCTGGGGTTCCTTGTGAGCTTTCCATCTGATGTATGACTTAGAGGGTACAGAATGGGTAGGCATGAGTTTCAAGGTATGGGCATTTGTGCCTGGGGGGGTTCTAGTGTTTAAAATGATCTGATCTATGTGTCTCTGTACCAAACAAGAACCAGTCAAATTTGTGAAGAGCCCTTCATGGGTCCCCAGCTCCCTGGGGCTGCCTCCTGGGAACTGTTGAAGGCCATCTTGACTTGAGGCAGCGTCCTCACAAGCCCACTGTGGACACCACCTTCCCCAGAGGTGTGGTCCATACAATGTCAAGTTCCAAAGCACAGCCTCACACTATTTGCCCCATGAAAGTCTTATCTGATGCGCTTGTGCCCATTGACCAAGGCAGGAGGGCAGCCAGGCTGAGAACTGTTTGGATATAGGGTCTTCTCTATGTCAGCACTGTCCAGGAGAAATGTAAAACGAGTGAAAAACGTGAACCATATATATATAAAATTTAAAAATTTCTAGTAACCACACGTTTTAAAAGAATAGATTAAAATCATAATATACTTTATTTAACCCACTATACCAATATACTATCATTTCAACGTGTAATCAATATAAAAGATAATTAAGATACTGTATTTTCAATTTTTTTTTCCTATTAAGTCTTCAAAATGGTGTACATTTTACACTTAACAACACATCTCAAGTCTGACTAGCTATGTGTCAGGTTACATATGGCCAGTGGTGACCGTATTGTTATCTATATGATACACAATAGAAATATAAAAATAAAAATGTTCTCATCCTTTTGTACTGGTGTTTCCATGACATAAACATGCCCTGAAAGGTTCAGGATGTCTTTTTGTCTCTATTCTATTTTGAAGTTCAGCATCTGGGCTTCTTTGAAGTCGTTGTTAGAGGTTGGGAGCAGATGAGGATGTGCTGTGGACTCTTCATTCATATGTAGAAGTTCTTATCCCCAATGTTATGGTATTTGGAGATGGGGCCTCACCCTCTCCCCATCAGTGAAGCAGGAAGGGAGCCCTCACGCATAACCCAGCCTCCTAAACTGAGAAATTAATTTCTGTCGTTTAAGTCACTTAGTGTGTGGCATTTTATTATGACAGCCTGAGCTGACAAGACAGGTTGAGAAGTAGGAGAGTTGAGTGTTTACTGGTGGCTTCCCTGTTCCACGCCCTATGGCCAGATGAAAGGAAGGAGACATTTTCCTCCTGCTTTGAGATGTCAGGTAAACCTGGCACTCGGGAACCTGAACATCCCCAGGGAGTGGGTTGCTGGCTGCAGTCACTGAGAACCAGCCTTATCCTTCTGCCCCAGCTACAGATAGGCTTGCCATACAGGCTTTGGAGCACAACAGCCCCATCTCTGCCATCTGCCCATCTATACCTGCCCAGCTGGACATGGCTACAGAAAAACACCTGGTCAATCATCTGAGGATGAACCACATTGGGTTCATCCTCACCAAGATCAGAAGCGACTGCTGTGTTGTTGGTAATTACCCAGATTTTTCCCAGGAAATTTCCTTTCCTCTGGCCTGTTTTCTCCTCAGACTCCTAGACTTTCCTCCTGTGTCCTTTCCCTCTGGTGATAAGCCTTCTTCCTCTTTCACCAAGAACATGGAGGTAATCAGAACAGAATGCCCACTGCTTAATCTGTACCCATATAACATCCGCCTTTCCTCCTGGTACTATAATCTGACTTTACTCTTGATTAACGTTGTCCCTGCCACTGGGCACAGGATCCCAT